CTCAGTCTTCCAAAGTACTGGGATTACAAGTGTGAGCCACTGTGTCCAGCCAACATTTTAAATCACTCTCAGAATTATTTAGGAATGTTAGAGTTGGTGTTGTCCATTTAAACTCGATCCAAAATATGAAATATGGAAAACAAGAAAAGTATATAAACAGAACCTGTATGCAGGTCTAGGCTGCCTTAAAGTTCTGTTGACACACAGGCAGTGTCAGGAGCATAAGTGGCCATACAGAGATCGATGCATGAGCAAGCACCACATCCGTGTCCTCAGTTAGGACTTCTGACAGCTGCTGGAGATCAGGAGGAGAGAGAGGAGAGTTGTGAGACGGCAAGGCGGTCCGGAGGAAGCTCGCATATATGCACCCTGCAGACCCATTTCAATGACAGGTAGTGAATGAAAAAGACTGAGTGGATCCATTAAGCAGGGTTTGATTTTCCCCCTAAGGCAAAAGGTGGAATGAGTGGATATGCCATGTTTATGTTGCCTCCTGGAGCGATGGGATCATTTAAATAGAGTCAGCAAGAAAAATTAGGGATATTGATGATGATGGAGTGAAAAAAGAAGATCAGATAGGATAGGAGGCTGGCTTAAAAGGGAAGGACAGATATTTCAGGCAGTCTGAATAAAGACAGACTGAGTCCAAAAGTGAGCAGGTGAATAGGAGGTCTGAAGACTGAGAATCCTGGAGATTTTATCATGGGGTAGATTGTAGGAACATTGATTTTAAAGCCAGACTGAAGCACATTCTCATGATAAAGGCAGGTGAAATGGTGACTGTATAGGAATGTTTACCAATTTGCTTTTTTAGTATTTGGATGAAAATTCAGGTGAAATGTTTTGGCTTGAAAGAATGTAAAGTTTCATCAATCTTCATTAGTAGGGATCCCAGTGGGTAAGTGGAGGTGAGTCTAAGTAAAACCTCTGAGATAGATCTTACCTCACTGGGGTTGTGGATTTAGTACAGAATGCCAAGAGTTAACATGGTTCCTACCAAACAAAAAACGGATGGGAGGTGGCATATTCAGAGGGGAGCTCATTGATTGAAAATAGTGCTTTAAGTAAGTACAGGCAGAGAGGCAAGAAGTCAGAATTATGAATGGTTACATGGCAGGCTGTATGGTTAATGAACATCAGAGTAAAGAAATGCACATACACAGACTGTTAAAGATGATCTCAGGATGAATATTTGCTATTAAAGACTGTTTTAAAATAAGTTATGTACATGTGTAGAAATGATTCCAGATGATGAGAAACATGATGCAATTAAGCCTGATGGTCTTATAATAAAAGCGATGTAAGGATTAGAATGATTTGGAGTAGGTAGTGGAATAAAAGGTTAACTTGGCAAGGGTATTAAAGTGGGCAGCAATCGGTAAAATGCTGTGTGTGAGATAGATAGATATAAATAAAATGTTATGGGTGCAATAAATATTCACAGGAAAGAAAGCTGCCAAATGAGAATGAATGATAAGAAGGAATGTAGCCTTAAAGGCTTTTCTAAAATTTTGGGGGTAAATGGGGAAATTTTTGGAGGATGAAAGTACGACTAATTAAATAGACTTATGGAAAGAAGGTGTTATGGTAATATCTCAATGTAGAATCAAAGCAGGTTTTTTTCAGAGAAGTTAGTTTCTTTTGTTCTTGTTTGTTTTCTTGAGTTGGAGTCTCTGTTGCCCAGGCCAGAGTGCAGTTGCACACTCATGACCACTCCACCATCGACCTGCTGGGCTCTGGTGATCCTTCCACCTCAGCCTTCCAAGAAGCCATAACTACAGGTGTGTGCTACCATGCCTGGCTAATTTTTTAATTTATTGTAGAGATGAAGTCTCGCCAGGTTGCCAGGGCTGATCTTGAACCCGTGGGCTCAGGCAATCCACTTGCCTTAGCCTCCCAAAGTGCTGGGATTACAGACTGAGCCACCGAGCCTGGCCGAGGTTAGATTTTTATACATTTATACAGAAAGGATAGCGGGAAAGATTAAAGATAGAACAAAGAAGAGAATAACTAATGGAACTACTTTCTGGAAGAGACTGGATAGTGTGTATCTTTTGAACTGTGGAAGATATGATTTTGAAGAGGATAAAAAAAAGTGGATAGTTCTAGGATTACACAGTCACAGTTTCTATTTATTATTTATTATGTGTCTGGCACCATTTTAAGCAACTTATTTCATTTCATCCTTTTAACAATTCTGAGAATTAAATAACTTGTTCAAGTTCACAGTCAGTATGTTGCAGCACCAAAATTCAAATCCCTATCTGTCTACAAGACTGATATTCTTTTTGTCTATGCTACACCATTTCTAAGCTGAAGGAAATCACAACCAAGAATTTCTATTTTTTCCCTGTGATTATAAGGAACAAACATTTTTCTGAGATGAAACACATAGGGATGATGCACAGATCTCAAAGTGACAGGTAAAATTTGGGACATCTGTGGAAGTGTAAACAGGAAGGACTGGGTAAAAGACTCCTGTTACCATCCATGCCCTGGAATTTCACTTCTTTTGTTACGTAGCACAGATTTTGGATTGGCTATGGATTAAACATTTGAGAATTTTGACAGAAACTTTAGAATAAAAAGGAGGTTTTTTTTTGTTTTGAGTTGGAGTCTCACTCTATCGCCCAGACTGGAGTGCAGTGGCAGGCTCCCAGCCATCGCAGCCTCAAACTGCTGGGCTCTGGCGAGCCTTCCGCCTCAGCCTTCCAAGTAGCCGGAACTACAGGCGCGCGCTACCATGCCTGGCTAATTTTTGGTTCATTAGGTCTCACCAAGTTGCCCAGGTGGGTCTCGAACCCGCAGGCTCAGGCAATCCACTTGCCTTGGCCTCCCAAAGTGCTGGGATTATAGGCTGAGCCACTGAGCCCAGCTGGGAGTTTGTTTCTAAGTAGGTATGTGATGAGTCAGCTATAAATTGACTACTAACAAAATTTTTAAAGTTCCAGTGTTGAGACAAAAGTTCATTTTTTTCCTCCAAGATGCACTGACAAGAGTTTATAACTACATTCTAGCACTGATCAGGAAACCCTCTGAGTTTAACATGAAAGAAAATTCTCTAAATTCCAAATTTTTATAAACAAAAATCTAACAAACCATCAAGCACAAGAGTCCACAGCCAGCAGACCAAGCCTGATGTCTCTGGGCTAAAATGAAAAGTCCATTTTAAGAAGAAATGAACTTCTCAGTGGATGGGGCAAGAAAGCCTCTCCTTCCTTCTGTTCTTGGTAGGAGTGTTTTCTGCTGTTTTTTCCCTACACTGTATGTAATTTCTATATTGTTGTTTTGTGTATTTTGGTATTGTAAAATCGTGACTACTGGATTCTGTTAAGACCATCCCGGGGTGTGAGCTATCAGTTAGCAAAATGAACCTGAGGAAGTGGAAGGAGCTAGCATTTTCAGTTGGGAAGGGCCTGACTCTTCAGTGGGGTCAGCAATTCACTTTCCTCTGAAATTACATGGCAAAATAACAGTACCCTTTAAAAACAGTACCCTTTAAAAACAGAAAGTTGGTGAGAGGTCCCTGAGATTGAAGCTGTAAAACAAGGAGAGAGGGCTGCTGGGGGCAACCTAGGGAAGTAAAAATGCTCCAGGCTACGGAAGAAGCTAGCTTAGAACACGGGTAAATAACACAAACTTCACCTAAAAGTACAGCCCGCTCAGTTCCTGGCTAGCAGACACACTTCAGACAAATCTACCTGGACAGAAACAGATCAGGAGAAAGAGAGGCTATAAGGAAGCAAAGCTACAGCAACCTCACCAAGGGCTCAGGGAGGTAATCTGGTTGAAGTCAGAGGGCCTGGAGCCCTGAGGGGAAACACTGGAGCCAGGTGGGAAGCACCTTCCTCCTCAGGGTCACGGATCCTGGGTACTAGAGAACAGAAGTACAATCCACCCAGGGCCAGAGGAAAGGGAGCAGCCTGGGCATCAGATTCAGCAGTGATGTCAGCATGAAGCTACCTTGTGGTAGAGTCTGAGCAGCCTGGGTCCACGGCTCAACACAGACAAGACTGGGCAGGGGTTCCTGGGAACCAGCATCTGTGAAGGGAGTCAGGAGAGGGGCTGACAGCCAGCAGGGTGAGCCCCCAGTGCAAGTGAACGATGACCAGTGAAAACTACTCACTGGTAGTTTTATGACTTCTTGGAACTCTGTAACTTCCCCAGTATTTGTTAATTTTATTAACTTCTCTTTTTCTTGTACTTACTAGTAGTAAAAGTTGTTCAAACATAACCGAGAGATGTGTCTTATTTCTGTGAAAATTGGGTAACAATTATGAGTATTCTATAGTGAATTACGGAAGAGAAGAACTCAACGGGGAAAACGGAGATAAAATCAAGTACAACAATGGTTGCCATTTACAAGAGACAGGCTACAGGGCCTTCCCAACCCCCAGATGCATAAATACTTTTGGCAGCTGGCTCTCTGTTAGGGGCCATTTCTTCCCCTGCATCTGGGTCAAGTAGAGAATTACAAAGCTTTTCTCAAACATGGACACACATGGCTGACGGAGCCACTCACTAGGATGCAACATACTATCAGACGCCAGCCTTAGGTTCCAGAACCTTCACAAATGAGGTATTTGAATGCCAACAATTTACAAAATAACCCAAGTTTTTGCAGGATGCCCTGGATAGAAACATCAGGGGGAAGGGGTCATGATTCTTCAAGGCGACATCAGGTCTGAAGACCCTCCCTCATGGTTACATCATTATAAAAGAAAGCCTGAGTTCCTCTGTGGGCTGCCACTGGATACATTCAGTTTCTCTTTTAAGATTAAATGTCCAGCAAATTTTACTCAGAGACTGAATATTAAAATTAGTATGCCTGCAGTAGTAACCAATTATTTACTCTCTCATGCGCACTCTCACTCACTCCATTAAATGCCAGGGAGGAACCACACTCTTCCACACTGAACCTCTGTCCAGCCACCTAAGGAACTCACAGGCTGATGCACTGTGAATTGCATGGGGATCCCCTCCCTTCAGTGGGTTGGTACCTGCTGTAGGGTCATCATCAGGCAAGCGGACAAGAGTGTAACATGTTCCTGGCTGATTATAAGGGAGGCTGGGGGCTGGGACACAACACAGCACTTCATAGGAATCTGATGGCTCCATCTGCACAGTCACTTTCTCCAGCAGCTGGTCATTGAGCGTGTTGGTGCAGTCAAACTGAAAGGTCAGTAGATGGGTAAGTTGTGAAGGATGAGAGGTGTTTTCAAGCCAGTGTCCTTCCCACTCACAACCCATTCCTCGGCTCTGGAATCATCATTTAACCCTGATTTTAAATGATGATTTTAAAAATAGGTTATACTTTATGTTGTCCAACTTCTTCATCAACTTCAGTTCTATGTCCTTTTAGATTTTAACCATCAAAAATTACCCATCAATGATGGCATCTCTATAGTTCTGATGCTAGGAAAGAAAACCAGAAATTCTGCCAAATTAATTTTGTATAAAAGGAACTAAAATCATTTGTAAAGAGAATTGATACTGTCTCAAAGTATACCCATTGATACTAAGTCCCTGCAGGAGCCAAGGGTATATCTCACCTGGAACACAATGTGATTGGTAAACATGTGCTTGATACATCGAACAAAATACTCTGTCTCTGCTTCTGTAAGTTGGACAGGCTCAGAAGACTTGAATAAGGGTCCTATATTCAAAAATTCAGGAATGGCAGCCAATTGTTCTATTAAGAAAAAAGGAAAGAAATAAAGACATAAAGAAGAAAGGGAAGACTTTACTTCGGATGCTTAAAATGTTTTCATTTCCATAGCCTTACTATTAGTTGAACACTCAACTAATTATTTCACTAAAGCTTGTGGACATATATTTTAAGTGAGTTTACATGTTGGATTAATAAAAGCAAAATAGAATCTAAATTCCTAATTTTTTAGAATCTGAGTTCCCCGATAGCCAACAAGATGCAGATAAGAACAACGTTCCCAGCCGGGCTCGGTGGCTCAGTCTGTAATCCCGCGCCTTTGGGAGGCTGAGGTGAGTGAATTGCCTGAGCCCGCGGGTTCGAAACCCTCCTGGGCAGCGAGACCTCATCTCTACAATAAATCAAAAAATCAGCTGGGCGTGGTAGCGCATGCCTGTAATTCCGGCTACTCGGAAGGCTGAGGTGGAAGGATCGCCAGAGCCCAGCAGGTGAGGCTGCGGTGGCTGGGAGCAGCCACTGCACTCCAGTCTGGGCGACCGACTGAGACTCCAACTCAAAAAAAACAAACAAAAAAGAACAACGTTCCCAGTAAGCAACTGGAAACTGGAACGTCCATGGACCCTAGGTAGCCTCGGCAACTGTACCCTATGATCTTCAAACATATGAAGACTTCCTGTACTGAGAACTAATCAGACTGAATACAAGGAATGGACTTTATTATATATTTACAATGCCTACAGACATGATTATTACTTATACTCATCAAATCATCATACCTTGGAAAATGTCTTGCCTGGAAGGAACCAATTTCTCTGGTTTAGCAGCCACAAGTGTGATTTCTGCAAGGACAGACATAAGCAATTAGGTAAGCTTCCCCCTCACTAACAGTGCAGACAGAAAGAGATGAGGGCAGAAACTTCTAAAAGACATATAACAAGCTGTTGCTAAATCACACCAATGGACTCAAAATGTATTTTGTGAACATATGTTGTGAAACAATAAAGTAAGCCCTAAAAATAATCAGTTTCAAATGAAATGGGATGAAAAAAAAAAAAAAAACAAACCTCAGAAAAGAAGGAATAAACACAAATCTCACAATCAAAATAGGAAAATTCACTTGTATTAACAGAAAAACTGAAATGCTGAAAATTAGGCATAAATCTTTTATTCCCAGTTCTGTGTTCTAACCACTAAACGAGTTTTCCTTCTTTTCTTTCTTTCTTTCTTTCTTTTTTTTTTTTTTGAGTTTTAAAGTTAGATATTTTTTGGGAAAATGTTTTATTTAAAAAATTTTTGTCCCCAAGAGGAAGACTACATACTCTCTAATCTAAGAAACCTCTTAATTCCTCACTCCATTCAATTAGTTAATTAACTGTAATCAGGATAGTCTTGTATTCTTTTCACTTTGTTTTCAAATACCTTAACTTCCTGTGTTTGTTTGTCTATCTTTTTTTTCCCCTTTGAGTAGGGTTCTCATTCGTTGCCCAGGCTGGCATGGAGTGGCAGTCACGGCTCACCGCAGCCTTAGACTCCTAGGCTCAACAGATCCTCCTGCCTCAGCCTCCTGAGTAGGTGGGACTACAAATGTGTGCCACCATGTCTGGCTGGGAACATTTTTTATGATATTGTCCCATACATTATTTCAAGACAAACCTCCAACAGCAAAATTAATTAACTTAAGAGATTACCAACTTCGGAAAATAAACATAGGAAGTGACAGCACTATTACTGCTCTGAGAAACACAGTGGTGACTAACCTCAAATGCTGCTTAACACTTTGAATTTTAAAAAAGAAAAAACCCTAGTCTTGGAACACTTCATATTTTTGCTTTTGTGTAAAAATGAGTTTTTTTAAAAAAAACTCTAATAAAAAAATACCATGTGTCATAGATCCAAAAGATGTAGGAGTGACAATTAAACAATTAGAGAAAAAAAAAAAACTCTAATATTTTCTAGTTTATAAAATATGCCAATATTTACTAGTTTTGCAAAACTATACACAGAAAAACTAACAGAGTTAACTATTCCCATTACCTGCTTTCTGTTCAAAGACTGGAGCCACTGAAAGAGGAATTGATTTCATGTCAAAAGGCTTTTCTGAAGGCTCCAGTGTGTATTGGTGTAAGGCTTTTTCCATCCCTGGTACAGAGACCATCAGACCTGTGAAACACAGAGAAATCTCAGTATCACAATCTATATCTTGCCAATCCCAAGACCCAGACAGGCCTAGATTTGTAACATTTATCTAGCTTTCTGAATGAAGAGAAAACTATAACCACAAACTGTATAACCTAAAGGCTATGATATAAAACTGCCTTGTAAACCAATAAGCTATCTTATTTTATCTAAGGACATATGGGAGCAGAGCATAAATATTTTCAGCAAAATATAAGTACCTCCCAGAAAAGAAAGCAACTTAGTCATGCGGGCACAATGACAGCAAAAGAAAAGGGAAAAAAGGATAAACTCATCCAAGAGGGAGTTCAAGGAGAGCCAAGAATAAGCAACATTCCTTGGGCCCCTCCATGCTTTAAGAAATACGTATTTTAGAGAAAGGGTCTCACTGTCACCCAGGCTAGTATGCATGGGTGTGATGACAACTCACTACAGCCTCAAACTCCTGGGCTCAAGTGTGGCCTCAGCTTCCTGAGTAGCTGGGACTACAAGCATACACCACTGCATACAGCTCATTTTTAAAAACTTTTTGTAGAGACAAGGTCTTGCTATGTTACCCAGGCTGCTCTCAAACCCCTGGCCTCAAGCAGGCCTCCCATCTTGGTCTCCCAAAGTGCTGGGATTACAGACATAAGCCATTGAGCCTAGTCTAAGAAATTTATTCTTATAAATTGTTTCACAGGAATTATCATTACCAAATTAGAGAAAACTCTATAAATATGTTTCCTTAGAAATGGTAGTGCATTCAAAGATAAGAACCCAGCATTTGCCTAGTGAAGTTAACTCATATGCAAATTATCATGAAATATACTTCCAAAACACCATTTGGAGAACAAAAGTACATTTATCTTTATTCTTGGCTCTCACTGACCATTAAAGATATATGTGGCATTCAGTGCCATCTGCCTCTGCTGCAGCACATTCAGATAGAGGGTAGCTCTGTCCCGTACCTCATCATCAGTGTCCATCATACATCTGTCCAGGGGAAACAGAACAGGCATGTCACAGTACCAACGACTTCCAAGAGTTTTCTCACAACCCTAGAGAACACGGTTCAGGTCACCTGACACTGCCTTTATAAAAAGAGCCCAACAACAGCCAACAGGAGCTTCTGAAGTCTCCACAAATTTTGGGTGTGGTTCCGACTTACTAAAGAAATACTGTCATCATACATCAGAAGCACTGCATAAGCAGGCATCGAAATAACTAGGGAAAGCACACTAACATGAGATTACAGCCTGGAGTATGTTCTTCAATCTGCAACCACATGATGCTGACAAAGACTTAGGCTTCTCTGCAATTAAGAAACAGGAATGCTAAAAAGATAAACAGCATTCAAAATCGACACTGTTATTCCTCAAATGGCAATTTGTTTTAGTTAAGCCAGCCAGCCTTTGGCTTGTAATTTATCTGCTCCAATTAACTACAAGGTGCGATCATAGAGTGTTTGCTAAACCAAGTCTTTTCCTCATCAAATAAGGAGTCATAGAAATGACGGAAAGCTAGTATTTTCAACTCCTCATAGCAAATTGTCTGAGGTCTTTTTAAAGTTAGCCCCTGCTGTACACATTAAGGTCCATGTAGTCAAGCACTTTCTCAAAACTGAGTAAGAGAAATCCAGAGTCAGATGGGCCGTATACCCAGCGCTACCTGACTGCTAAAAAGAGAACACCATTCCATTGGCTGCCCCCCGAGCCCCACATTCCCCTTCAGCTCTTCCCTCGGGCCCTGTAGTGCATCTGGTGTGGCACAGGGAGGATTTCAGCATTCAGCCATGTGGAATTCTTATTATAAAACAAATACATTCTCTTACCCACCTCTGTAAGAGTACAAGGATGCTTGGGAGAAGGCTTTCATTCTGAGCCCCAAATTTAGCCAAAGCACTCACAGCAGCTATAAGGAAGCATAAAACAAAGCAACATAAATATTGGTTTCTCAAAGGTAAGCAAAAATCATTTAAAAAAATTAGAGAAGTATCTCTGTGTTCAGTGAGATAAACTCTCTTGCTCTGTTGAGAGTTTCTTGATCTTATTTCCTTGATATTTTTAAGCACAGAGTTCTGCAGGCCCATCACTGATGTGATGACGTTCTCATGTCAAACAACCAGCCCCACATGCAAAAACAAGTTCTACAGTTAAAATTCCGTTCATTCAACAAAGGCTCATTGCTCACCGAACTTTTGTCAGGAATTGTGCTAGAGTGGGGAGTAGACAACAGACACAGTTCCTGACCTCAAGGCATTATACTCTGGTAGGAAGGGCGGGCCAGTGAAGAGGCATAACACAACCCAGTCCATCCAAAGTAGAGCTACATCCAGGAGGCCATGTGGTATGGAGAAAGGAACTCAAATCAGAATTGGTGGTGGAAAAGTTAAGACAAAACACACGTTACGTGAACTAAATTTTGAAGAACAAGTCAAGGCAGCCAGAGGGAAAGGGCAGGAGAAGAGTATCAGAGGCAGAGTGAATAAGCAAGTACCAATGCCCTCTGCCCAGAGAAGCAAGCATGGCACAGTACCAAACACAGTCAGGCAAGGCTGAGCACAGGACCCATGCTGGAGAACAAGAGACAAGAGAGATAAGGCAAAAGCAGAGGATGGTTTCATCTCAAAGCTATTACTAAAGGACACTAAGTTTGGGACACATTTGTGTATTTGAAAGATCTTTTTTGAGCATGTGGAGAACAGGCTGGACACATGTGAGTCTGGAAGCAGTCACACTAGTTAGGCATCTGAAATGACACCACCAAGTCAGCACCCATGAAAAGCGAGAATGAAGAAATATTAAGAAGACAGAATGGGTAGCGTTTTGCTGAAGAATCGATGGGGGCTGTAAATGTAGAATCAGCTTCTGTCTTGACAACTGAGTGGGTAACAAAGGGAAGGATTTCAGTTTGGGTTCGTCTGAATTTCAGGTTGAATTTGAAGTGCCTTAGATATTTAGACACAGAGGTCAGGAGAGAGACATGACCGGGAAGAATAAAGTAGAGCTCTGAGAATGATCACCAGGAAGAATGAGCATGCCGGGAGGACAAAACCCTAGGGAGAATTAGTATTTTAAGGAATGGGCCTAGAAAGAGCAGCTCTATAAATAAGAGTGAGGAGGGATAGAAGAATTCAGGTCATTGTGGAAGTCAAAGGTAGAGGATTTCATGAAGTGTGTAGTCAACAGTGCATCACACTGACTGAATAGTAAGCAACAAGAAGCACACTGAAGTATCAAACTTGGATTTCCAACTAGTTTATAAGTAATTTTGAATAAAAACTTCAGAGAATTTTTAGGGAGAAAGCTAGATCATGAGTTGAAGAGAAAATGGAAAATGAATTCATGAAGGAAGCTAGGAATAGTTACTTCAAGTTTTTCTCTGAGTGGAAGAGTCAGTCAGTAGCTAGTGAGAGACACAGGCTCACAGGAGGGCAACTTCTAATGGGAGGGAGTTGGACCTGCTCACATGCTAAAGGGAAGGAAAGGTTAGGGGAAGAGTCACTTAAAAAACAGATACACACACGCACACATTCTACAGACAGACATAATATGGCTATAACTCTGAAAACCTGGGTGAGCCATGTGACAGTCCTCCTATCACACTGATAGCCAACTGTTGTCTCTAATCTAAAGCAAAAATGAGGATGGAAATGGAAGTACAAAGAAAGGGCTGCATGTCTGAGCCTTGAGCATGCCCCTGAATCCGACCATCAAGCAGATCTGGCAACTTCACTTTCCAGTTTCGTGACCACCCTCCTCAGTTAAGTATTTCAAAAGGTTGGCAGTTGCATCACGATCAGTGCTCCAATGAGACTCACCAGCTCTGACAGCCTCGTTTTCCAGGACGACCCTATTGAAAATAAAGCGGATATACTTGGAGGGGACAGGCGTTCTGGGGCCCTCTTTGCCCAGCAAGTGTAGAATCTTAGTAGCCAGAACAGTGTGTTCACAGTCTTCAATGAATTCACAAAGGTGGGCTAGGCCTGCTTCCTTACTCTCAGGGTTCTCTTCCACGATGCTGATAATGCAGTCCACAATGGCCCGCTTGTATTCAAAGCCTCCCTGGCAAAAGAGAAGACAGCTGCCAATCATTCTAAGGACACATTTTGGAGAAATGTTTATACTCCAAGGCTCATTCTTACAATATTCACATTTCATTTCCCAACCTCTATGAAAGAAACAAGTGTTTTTTTCTCCAAATGGGAAAGCAAAGCAATGGCGTGTTTAGTAATGAGCTAGAACCAGACTTTGGTATACTCCTTGACAGGCATACTGAGAAGATAAAGAAATCTGCTTAAAATATTAGGGTACTTAATGGCAATCATAAGAATTTAAGAGAGCAGCTTCCTATGGTTAAAAAGTAGTCTATGACTTGTATACCTAATCCCAAATTGTACCCCACATTTTTAAAATAAAAAAAAAGAAAGTTCGTAAGAGTGGGGGAAAAAAGTAGTCTACGTACATCATCTCGGAGCATATTGGACAGGAAAGTCATCATGACACTGTGCTTTCGAGGGTATTTCTGACAGAGAGCACTAATTGCCTGAACAACCACCACCTGTAGAAAAATGAACAGAACATTCACCTTTATAATGACTGTACAGTCATGACCTATAAAAAACACAAAAGACATTCATCTTCATAACTTTAGCTACTAAGCATGTTTTCCCTCTTATTACAGCAAGTTAAGAAGGCACTGTAAGCCGGGTTCGGTGGCTCAGCCTGTAATCCTGCGCTTTGGGAGGCTGAGATGAGTGGATTGCCTGAGCCCGCGGGTTCGAGACCCGCCTGGGCAACTTGGCGAGATCTCATCTCTACAATAAATCAAAAATTAGCTGGGCGTGGTAGCACGCGCCTGTGGTTTCAGCTACTTGGAAGGCTGAGGGTGAAGGATCACCAGAGTCCAGCGGGTTGAGGCTGCAATGGCCGGGAGCGGCCACTGCACTCCAGTCTGGGCGATAGAGTGAGACTCCAACTCAAAAAAAAAAAAGAAGGCACTGTAGTTTCCTAAAGTAACAGTGACAGTTCTTCATGAAAGATAAGCAGGGAGAAATCACAAAAAAATAAAAAGCATTGGACAAATGAAGTTCAAAAGAGCCCAACCCTGTACCACAAGCAAATAAGCACATAACACGTTTGGTGAGCCCTAAAGACAAAAAGCTTGAACTGACTGGTTTTCATAACAGAGACAGAGAAAGCTATCATGGAGCCACTTCACAAAATGGTTTCCAAGGAAATTTTGCCACAACTTTAAGGGCCAGTGGCAAGAAGTGTGAAGGGTATAATATTTTATTTAACCTGCCACAATCTCATGGATGCTGGTATAAAATAAGACCCTGGTTCAGAGATGAAAGATGATTACTTACTCACAACAATAGCAGGGGCCATGATATCAGCATTTGGGTGAATTTCCTGAGCTTTAATTCCCACTGGGCAGTGCAATGTGAGCCAGATAATATCTAGATTCCCAGTGGGGTGCATTACAGACTAAGAACCCTGAGAGATATGGAACTTGAATATTTTACAACGGACATTAATCATACCTAGTCTTTGTTCTGAAGGAAAACAGAATGATACGCAAATTTGTGTTCTGCTCTAGAGGGAGTAATACTAGTATTTTTCAGGGCTATCAGGAAATCTGCCCTTTACTTTAAAAGAAAATACTATCTCTATCTTCCAAAGCTGGACGGTATCTTGTGCTACACAAAGAAAAAGTTGGGATAGTAAGAAATAAAGGACAGTTAGTATCTAACTTACAAGATGTACAGAGCTGCAGAGGCCCATGGAGAATTGAGAATTGTTTACCCACAACCTGATAACCCCAAATGTATGCATGTTGTTTCAGAGCACAAGAAATTAAAGAAAATGTCCATAATAGTTTTATGTAGCAATGAACACTTAAAACCTAATAAAGATGGCATATATGCCCAGAAAGAAAAATTATAAACTGAAATCACTTAAGAATACTGAAGTAAAAATTCTAAGTAATATATTAGCTAACAGACTCTAACACTACATTAAGGAAATAACACATCATGATGAAATGAGATTTATACCAAGAATGTGAAGATGACTCAACATTAGAAAACTGATTAGTATAATTCTTCATATTAATGAGTCAAAGGAGAAAATTTATTTGATTATGTCCAAAATGCCAAAAATCCTTTGATAAAATCCAATACCCATTCCTAATAAAAATTCTTAAAAATACAGGAATGGATGGATACGTCCATAACATAAATATATTTGTGCCTCAATCCTGATGCCAGCATATTCCTCAATAGAGAACGGTGCGAGGCATTCCTAGATCAGAAGTAATGCAAGGATGCCACTATCTCCATTATTATTTAACATTATTCTAGAGCTATTAGCCAGTACAATTAGACAAGAAAACAATGAGAAGAATAGGAATTATAAAAGAAAACTGTCTTTATTTTTAGGTGATATGATAGTATACCTAAAAACCCTAGAGAATCTATAAGAAAACTAACTCAATTCATCAAGGTAGCAGTATATAAAATTAATACACAAAACCAATAATATTCATATACATGAATAGTAAATGACCAGTTAGAAGATATAATGGGTTAAAACACATTTGTAATGGCAAGAAAGATGATAGATTACTTAGAAATAAGCATTTAAAAAACATTCAAAACTAATATAAAAACATTTTAAAACATTCTTGAAAGGCAAAAAAGTAGATCTGAACAAATTTTAAAAGATTCTTGTTCTTAGTTAGGATGTCTCAACATCAAGATATCTGTTCTCCCCTAAGTTAACTTATAAAATTAATGTGATCCCAATAAAAATGCCAATGAGATTTTTTTATGAAGATAGATAATTTGATACTAAAGTTCATTAGAAAAATAAACATGCAAGAATAGCCAGGAAAACAATGAAAAGAAAGAGCTAGGATAGAGGGCTAACAGATATCAAAAAATCCTACAAAGCTTCTGTATTTAAAATTGTATGCGGCAGTAACGTGTGAATAAACAGACCAACATAGTAAGTAGAGTAGAAAGCCCAGAAACAGACCCAAGTACATATGAAACTTTAGCATATAACAAAGATGATATCTCAAATCACTGGGACAAAGATGATTTTTTTTAAATAAAATTTTTGGGGGGCCACTAGTCACTGAAAAATGATAAAACTGAATGTTTTTCATACCGCATGCAAAAATAAAATCCAGTGGAACAGAGATCTCAATGTAAACTATGAAACTAAATGTACTAGAAGAGAGAACATGGGTGAATTCCTCTATAATCTGAAGGGAAAGGCTTTCTAACTATGATTCAAAAGTCAAATGAAGTAAAACATTGACAGATCTGCTACATAAAAATAAAAAATTTTTCATGACAAAAGCCATAAGTTAAAAGACAAATGACAAATGGAGAAAATATTCATAACATGCTTCACAAAGAACCAGTATCCTTAATATACATATAAACCTTTAAATAATTGAGGAAACAAAAGACCAAAAATCCTATAGAAAATGAAGATATGAGCAGACAATTCACAAAACTATATTAAATGGCCCTCAAAAATACACAAAGATGTTTAACTTCCCTTATAAGAGAAATTCAAATTGAAACTATACTAAGATACCATTACTCACCCAAAAGGTTGGCAAAACTTCAAAAGTTTTATACTATCACGAGTGTGAGAAAAACTGGCATTCTCAATACATTGCTGGCAGAATTTAGCATTTTCTGCAAACTATGTATTTATTTTCAATCTAGCATTTGGACTTGAAGGAATTTATGCTAAGGATACACCTCTAGTGATTTGAAGAAAAAAAAGAAACATATGTACATGGTATCCACTGCAGCGTTACATGCAATTGCAGAGTACTGCAAACTACCTAAATGTCCAAGCATAGGAGATTGGCTCAATAAACACCTGCAGGGTTACTACTGTAAAAAAGAATATACCTTTATCAACTGATTTAGAGTGACTTCCAGGATATGTTTTTGGGCAAGAAAAAAACAGTGTTCAAGAGAGTATATATCATGTGCTATTTTTCATTTGTGATAACTCTGCTGGAAAGCCATCTGGTCCAGGGCTTTTATTGTAGGTAGTTTTCTTATGACATAGTGGATTTCCTGGGTTGTTATTGGTCTACTTAGGGACTTGATTTCTTCTTGTTTCAACCTGGGGAGGTTGTGTGATGTCAGAAATTCCCCAATTTCATTTAGGTTTTCAAGTTTGTTTCCATGCAAGTGTACACAATAATCTCTGAAAATCTTTTGTATTTCTTCGGGGTCAGCTGTGTATTTCTTTGGGGTCAGACTTGATCTTTTGCATTTGATTGTATTTATTTGGGCTTTCTCTCTCTTTTTCTCGGTCAGTCTAGCTAGAAGTCCACCAATCTTGTTTATCCGTTCAAAGAACCAGCTTTTCGTTTCGTTGATTTTTTTGTTATATTTTTGTCTTCTATGTCTTGTATTTGGGCTTTTGTTTTGGTGATCTGAATTCTTCTGCTGAAGTTAAGGTTTTGGTGGTCTTGCTTTTCCAGCTTCCTTAGGTGATTTATTAGGCTGTTAACTTGTGATCTTTCTATTTTCTTCGTGTGTGTTCATAGAGATATGAATTCCCCTCTTAGTAATGCTTTCATGGCATCCCAGAGATTTTGGTAAGATGTTTCTTCGTTTTCATTTGTTTCCAGGAATCTTTTAATTTCTGTGTTGACCCAGGAGTTGTTCAGCATCATGCTGTTTAGTGTACATGTCGTTGTAGGTTTTAGAGGAACTTTGCTTGTGTTGATATTTATTTTTATTCTACTGTGGTCTGAGATGGTGCATGGCGATATTTCAATCTTATGAAATTTGTTTATGCTTGATTTATGGCCGAGGATGTGGTTGATCCTGGAGTATGTTCCATGTGGTGATGAGTAGAATGTGTATATTCCTGGTTGTTGGGTGGGGTGTTCTGAAGGTATCAATTTGGTCAAGTGTCACATTTAGGTTCCCAATCTCCTTGTTGATTTTTTTGTCTTGATGATCTGTCTAGGGTTGTTAGTGGGGTATTTAAGCCCCCAGCTATGATAGTGTTAGAGTATCTTTTTTCAGTTTACCTAAAAGCTGCTTTATGAAAGCTAGCACTCCTATGTTGGGTGCATATATGTTTAGGATGGATATTTCTTGTTGATGGATTGAACCTTCTATAATTATGTGGTGACCTTCTGTATCTTTTTAAATTTTTGATAGCTTAAGGGATATTTAGTCTGATATTAAGATCACAACTCCTGCTTTCTTTTGTGTTCCATTAGCCTGAAAATTTGTGTTTACAAAGACTGCCTCCAAGGCTCCTCGTGCCTTAGCTTGACATTTTACATGGGTGTGTACATTTTTGTTGGGAATATATTAAGGAGCAAAGCTGCTGGGTCATGGGAGATGCATATAATCAGCTTTTAGCAGATACTGTTATGCCTGTTATCTCGAATGTCCGTACTTACTTACATTCCTGCTCGCAGTGCATCAGAGTTTGCTTTTCCATACCGTCACCAATACTTGACATTTTCCAACTTTTTCACTTCCGCCTCTCTGGTAAGTA